AGTTCAAGCTGTACTTTTAAATTATAGTTTTAATTGTTTATAATAATTTATCTGTTAAATTGTGTGAGCCCAACTAACACAAGAGAGTAGTCCTAACATAGAATTAAAAATATGTGGCTTGCAAATTTTGTATCATATAGCCTAAGGATCTAAATTAGATGGCAACGGAGAGAAGAAAAATCTTTATTAGGACTAATATAATGGTATTTCAGTATATATTAAGCTCTTATAATTTAAAGGATATAAGTATAATTTGAAGCATACATTCAGATTTTATCAGGGATGTCTTAAGATGCATGGTATAGCATTATTATGATGTAGCAACTCCCTCAGATAGGATAAACAAACAAATCAAATAAGTGAACATTTTATTGGGCACCTTCCATGGGCCTAAACTGTCTTCAGTGCTACTGGAAAATGAATTACTATGAAGATACAGTTCCCTATTGAAGCTTCTAAAATACCAGGGTCATATTATTTTCTTACATTAACTAAAGGCAATATAGGCAGATACGGCAAATTACATTGGGGTAAACAAAGTGTCATGAGGTTTTAGAGGTGACAGGGTTCACATCCGATTGAGTGGGGCTGGATGGGTGGCATTTTAAGTGGGATTTGAAAGATTGAAACGATTTTGAGTATCATGAAAACACATTTCAGATGAATAGGCAAAGAGGGAAGTGTCTGGGATATATGGTAAAAGAGTAAGTAGATTAGTTTGGCTGAGAAAGGTTTCTGTCGAGGCTAAGATGATGCTAGGATAGAAGGTTGGGTTTCCTGTGGAAAGCGTTAGCTAGGGAACAGGTGAGTTCTTCATTCTCTGATCAATAGGGTTATTAATGATTTTTGAGTAGAATAGTGACATGATCAGAATTTTTTTAGACAGATAAAATCTCTAATAGTATTCAGGAAAAACCTTTGCTTAAGAAAAGCACTGAAGGCATTAAGACCATTTGGAGATTTCTACAGTAATCTTGGTGAAAAGTTGCAAGGATCAGATGGTGTCAGGAAGATTGAAAAGTGGGTACTGATCCAAGCAGTCCTAAGAAATTTGACTATGGAAAGTGGGATTCACAAATGCTATGCCCTCTTTTTCTTTTATGTCCAGAATTTGTCTTTTACTTAAATAAACATACTTCTATAAAAATAAAAACTTCATTCTCAAGTGGAAATAAATTCCTTGTGAAATACATTGAATTCTCCTATTTGTGCATAAAACTTAAAACAGAAAATAGAGAAAAATGGTCTCACTTATCAGTTTAATCTCTCTCTTAGTGGGCACTCAGCAAAAAATAATAAAAATACCAATAATGTGAATAATTAATCAAATGAATTAATTTGTGTATTATCATGCCTACTGGTTTACATGTTGTTATTAAGATAATTTTGTTTTCTTAATAATTTCTCAGTAATTATGATTTTTCCCTCACCAATAAAAATTTGACCTATATGCTATTAATGAAGGTTTCAAGTATAAGTGGGGGTGAGGAGCATTTTTCAATCTTGAAAAATTATTAAGAAAAGTAAGAAAAATAAAACCTGTGTTTTTGTCATAGATGCTTTCCCAACAAAGAAAAAAATCACTGACAAGGTTGTACAGTTTACTTTAATCTTTGCAAATCATTAAGATGCAAATGCCATCTGTACCACATCCAAGATACACATTTCATTTCCTTGTAATTGCTTTTGTGAACTTTATTTATATCTTTTATATACATGTGTATACCGGGGTGCCACATGACTTGTATTCATCTTTTGTTATCAGTATATGTCGAGTACTACAATTTTAATACAGTTTTTCCTTAAAATGTGTATACATTTTTTTTGGCATCGTGTGTGTGTGTGTGTGTGTGTTAGTATTTGCTGTCTGAAATGGCAAACCTTGACTGTTAGCAAATAATATCATTTCTCAACTTACATTTTGACATTTATTCTGAAGTACATACCTCTGGTCAACCTGTTTCATAATAATACCTTAGCCAAGATAGTACAAACAGCTATGAAGTTTTTGAAACTGCATTGCAATAAAAAAGATGATAATTTGTTTTTCTAACAATTCTCATATCTCACACTGAAAATACACTGTGTGTAAATCAGAATAGTATTCATTTAATCTACTGAAAGCTCAGTAAACAATTGAATGAATATGCATAACTCAATTATAATAGTAGGTCTTTAGAACAGTATTGGCTATGTGGCGCATTTCCCATTGCATCAGTTTGCTCTCACTTTAGCTTTGAAAATCTATTCAGAGCAGGGGCATATTAGCAAGGTGTCACCCCACAGGCCCTCTTACTTCTCTATTCCCTGTGTTTTAGCTCTTCCGCTCCTGTGCAAATTAGGGGCAGAATTTACCTTTGAACCAGAACCAGTTTCATAATAAACGCAATACTTCTGAAACTGCGGCTTCTCATACCACCTGACTTTGATTGCCTTTCTATAGCTACAGGACCTGCTACTGCTTTTCTTAGCAGTTTCCCCGAGCTTGCCACCTTATGTACTCAGTGAGAGCTGAAAGGTCGTTCATGTTTATCTGGACTCTCATTCTTTAGTTCTTGGCGAGCTGGCTCCATTTGCTCATATATCCTGGATGCGACTGAGTAACTCTGCAGGTTGATGGTTCCATTTTCACATGGTCTGTTTCTACTAAATCAATAAAAATAACAGTGCATTTCCTAGACTCCAAGATATTATTGATTTTAAGATATAGCTTCAATGTAGAATATCTCTATATTACATATAAGCAGCAAGTTTATTATAAACTTGCACTAATATACATTTATTCATTCTCAAAAAGCCACTTTACTAATGCCACAGTCTATGCCTTCTTTCATTGTTTATGCCAGATTCATAATTCTTGAGGATTAATAAATTATTTGGAAGGTTATCAAATTATACTCTTAGTTTAATATATGAAGTATGGGTTTGTGACAGACTACTGCTTTGAAACACATAAGCTTCCTCGGCAACAACCCCTCTCACAGTTCAGAATGGAGATACAAAGTTTCCACTTGATGGGAGAGTCATCAGGAATCCAAAATTTTCTGAGATAAAAATCTGCTATATGGGTGATGGATGGCTAAGATTTCAAACTAAATGTGAGACAATCTGATTGGTTGGCCGGATGCCCTTTCTAGTGTGGTCAACCATTCCAGTTTGCCTAGGACTGGGACTTCGGCCTTAAAATTGGGAAAGTCCTGAGTAAACTAGAACAGTTGGTCATCTCACCTATCCCTGTACTGCTTTCTGCCTTTTGGAGGAAGCTGAGGAGACAAAGGAAGGGTAAAGGAAGAGAGGTGAAGACAAGGAGGGTTCCTCTTACTCAAAGTCATTTGGGAGCAGAGAAGAACAGGTAGAAATACAATTGGATTCTCCCTTAAAAATTATTTTTGGATAATCGGAGAGTGTGAATGTGTGTCACGCCCTATTTTGCTTAGATTTTCAATACTTGGAAGCCAGCAAATAAGTTCCACCCCATAGTTAAGTTCACTTCATGAGGTCTTAGAGAAAGCAAGAAAAATACCAAGAGTGGCCCAATGAAAGGTCACTGGAAGAGAAAGAAAATAAGCACCCTGCCTTGCACAAAGGCATAAAGATCAGAAATGCTGGAATGTTTCATTCATACAGACCTAAGTGGTAAAGCATGAACTATTTGAGGGGTGTATTAGTCAGGGTTCTCCAGCAACACAGAACCAATAAGAGATTATGTAAACACACACACACACACACACACACACACACACACAGATTTATTTTAAGAAATTGGCTCATGAGATTATGGGGTTAACAAATGTATAATCTGTAATGCAGGCCAACAGGCTAGAAATTCAGGTAAGAGCTGATGTTGTCTTGGGTGCAAAATCTGCAGGCTGGAAACTCAGGCAGGGTATCTATGTTGAAGTCTTGAGGAAGAATTGCTTCTTTCGGAAACCTTAGTCTTTGCTCTTAAGGCCTTCAACTGTTTGGATGAGGCCCATTCACATTATGCAGAGTAATCTGCTTTACTAAAAATCTGATTGAAATGTTACTTGCATCTAAAAAATACTTTCATGACAACATCTAGGCTGGTTTTTCACCCAATAGCTGGGCACCATAACCTATCCAAGTTGACAAATAATTAATCATTGCAAGGAGCAAATTCAGTGATTCAGTGAAGGAAAAACTGACCCTTTGAGTAAGTTGAGGTAAGGACCCCCAGCTAAGGTTTATCTGTTGAAAGTACAGCTGGGCTTCAGGAAATTACTCATACCAAGAAGCAGTGCAGAGGCCAGATAGACACCTATACAGTACCCAATGTGCTACGTGATAGAGCCAGCATTGGATATCACCCCCACTGAGAAAACAGATGACATAATTTTCAATAGCTGGACCTATAGTAGATTTGAGTAAGAGAAGCCACAATAACCAATGATCTCCTCACAGTGAACATGCTCAATTTCAGAAGGTTTTCTTCCGCGTCTTTCCCTCTGTTTGAGAATGAGCAGCAGGGCCAGGAATGGAAGACGAGAAAGTTTCTGTGGTGACTGTGATCAGCAAGGAGTTTGAGATAATAATGCTAAGCTGGCTTTCAAACCATTGCTTGGAACTGAATTTACCTGAAAGCATCTAGATATTATTAATTAGTTATTTTAACATTTTTGCTACTAACTAAAATGGGGTCCTGAGAGTTAATTTCAGATACAGAGAATTTTAAAAGAAAAACAAATATTTTGATATTGTATGTATGCATATATTACTCTGGACTGAATGCTTCCTCCACAATTAATATGTTGAAGCCCTAACCACCAATGTGATAGTATTTGAAGATGGAGACTTTGAGAGATAATTTTGCCTAGATAAGGTTGTGAGGGTGGGACCCTCAATTGATGGAATTAGTTATGGAGATCTACTTGTAGCTGCCTAAAGACAGCCTCATAAGTATGTGATATGATCACAAAATACAGTGAATGTTTAAATTAAAAAAATATATATACTCCCCTGCACAGGCTTTCCTGGTTAAGATGGCATCCCCCGTGGCAGCGCAGGCCCAGAAACTTCTGTGAGACCTGGCGCTCCGGCCCCGGCTCCTGGCGCCCAGGTCTCAGCCAGTGCAATTAACCTCCAGACGATGGCTGAATCTGCAGGAATACCAGAACAAGAAACTGATGTCTGACAATGGAGTGAAAGTTCAAAGATTCTTTGTGGCAGGCATTGTGAATGAAGCTCTAGAGGCCGCTAAGAGACTAAGTGCAAAAGAAATGGTTTTAAAAGCCCAGATCTTAGCTGGAGGAAGAGGAAAAGGTGTCATCAGTAGTGGTTTGAAAGGAGGTGTTCATTTGATGAAAGACCCTAAAGTTGTGGGACAGCTGGCTAAACAGATGATTGGGTATAATCTAGCAACAAAACAAACTCTAAAAGAAGGTGTGAAAGTTAACAAGGTGATGGTTGCTGAAGACTTGAACATTTCCAGAGAAACCTACTTCACGATTCTGATGGACCGGGCCTGCAATGGCCCTGTCCTGGTGGGCAGCCCCCAAGGGGGTGTTGACATTGAAGAGGTGGCAGCATCAAGCCCAGAACTCATTTTTAAGGAGAAAATTGACATTATTGAAGGGATAAAGGACAGCCAAGCTCAGCGGATGGCAGAAAATCTAGGCTTCCTTGGGCCTTTGAAAAACCAGGCTGCAGAGCAAATTAAGAAACTGTATAATCCCTTCCTGAAAATTGATGCTACTCAGGTGGAAGTGAACTCCTTTGGTGAAACTCCAGAAGGACAAGTTATCTGTTTTGATGCCAAGATAAACTTTGATAATGCAGAATTCCAACAGAAGGACATATTTGTTATGGACGACAGATCAGAGAATGAGCCCATTGAAAACGAAGCTGCCAGATATGATCTAAAGTACATAGGGCTGGATGGGAACATTGCCTGCTTCGTGAATGCTGCTGGACTTGCCATGGCTACTTGTGATATCATCTTCTTGAATGGTGGCAAGCCAGCCAACTTCTTGGATCGTGGTGGTGGTGTAAAGGAATCTCAAGTATATCAAGCCTTCAAATTGCTCACAGCTGACCCTAAGGTTGAAGCCATCCTCGTCAATATTTTTGGTGGAATCGTCAACTGTGCCATCATTGCCAATGGAATCACCAAAGCCTGCCAGGAGCTGGAACTTAAAGTGCCCCTGATGATCCGGCTTGAAGGAACCAATGTCCATGAGGCCCAGAACATACTCAGTAACAGCGGGCTCCCAATTACCTCCGCCGCTGACCTGGAGGATGCAACCAAGAAGGCTGTGGCTAGCAAGGCCAAGAAGTGACGGCTCTGTCCTTGTCCCTTGGAGGAGGAAGTCCATTTCACCATAAAAAGGGATGGTTCCCTCTTCACTGTGAAAGACATGGTTATCTCATTGGGAAAACATGGGGAGGGCGTGAGCAAGAATCATTGAATGAAAAATCTTAAATCTGAAGCTTGTGGAATAAGATATTTAGATATCCTAAATAATCTGATTTTACTTATAGTCTATATTAAATCACTGGCCCCTGTTCTCATACTTTTCTGTCATGGTGAGCCTGCTCAGTAGATATTGTGTTGCTGATTTGGGGGAGGAGTCTATGTGACCAAACGGTGTGCATATATGTAGAATTTGAGGCCAGGCCCTCATTCATTTACAGCAATTTTGGTGGACATTTAATCCTGCATAATTAAAAACAAAAATCACAGGCCATGAAAAACTCAGACAAGACTGCATTTAACAGATGAACTATCAAAAAGGTACAGCTAAGACATTGAAACAAATAGCTGTTACACCCTGCAACAGTTTTTACAAGTGTCTAATTCTAGCACATGTTTGGAAAATCCATGAATATTCTAAAATATATTTTACATTGGAAGGTCCACACTAATATCCCATACATGTATTCTACCATTTGCCTTAATATTAAATATACTGTGTACCTCACAGGAAAAATGAAGCCAGAAGCCTTATTTGTGATTTTTGAGTAGAAGATTTCATTTTAATGGGAAAACTGGAGAAAGGTGATTCTTATGGAAATCCCTGTAATTAAGACATTCCAAGCAGACACATCACTGAATATTAAATTATGTTTTGAGTGTCAGCATCCTTTCTGCTCTCCCTTTTCCCCCCAGAATTTACCAGCTGGGAAATGTAATTAAGGTAATGTGGCTTTTTTCCATAATGTCCATTGGGGTAAGGGATTTCAATTATGTTTATGTTGATGTTTTGGTAAATTTTTATTTGTATACAAATTTAAATAAAATTTGTATTTTGTAAGCTCTAAAAAAAATTATTACAGTAAAAGACTCGTTGCCATTAACTCCCCTCAAAATACTCCCACCTTGCTTCGAACACACTTATCCCATCATCCTTGCCACTTTCTGAAGCAGTTCTGGAAGTCCTCTTTTGTGAGTGTCTTTAGTTATGCTGTTGTGGCTGCCTAGATGTCCTGAATCAATTCAAAACGTTTATGTTTCATGATCATTTTGACTTTGGGAAAGAGCCAGAAGTTGCACAGTGCTAGATCTGGTGAATAAGGTGGATGAGGACACACCATAATGTTTTTATTTCACAGAAATTGCCATGCCAGAAGCGATGTGTCATGATGGAGGGTGATTTACAGCACACTTTAAAACACACCTTCTCTCAACTGTAGCTAACACCTGACTGACCACTGAAAAGTTGAAACTTGTCACACACTGTTACTAAGATTTGACATGCTGCTGCTTCCCATATTAAAGATCCCTGCCATTCCGTTGAATGGCACTCAGCAACAGCATTCACCGTATGCTTTGGTTACACCTAAGTTCCCTTGCTTCTTAAAGCTGCCACCTACCAATCTGGAGTGGTCTGCCTTTCTTCAGTCTCTCCTTGCCGTCTGTGTATGGGGACCAGTTTGCAAACCAACAGCTTATTAAACTGATTCTGTAAATGATGTAAACTGGTTCCATAATTTTATTAAAAGAATATGAGTTCTATGATTTTTTTTGGAAAAACTATCTGGTATTATTGAAATAAGTATAAACTGGGTTCTATGAGCTTTCATAAATATTAAAAATAGCTTCATAGCTTTTATATTTAATATAACATATTTTAAAGTAAGTTACAATTATTATGACATTTCACTTCTAAATATTTTAGTATGCATATTTTAAAATGAAGATTCTATTTTTAGATAGTAAAATAATGTCATCACAATTCACAAAATTAGTGAGAGTGCCAACTAATACCCAGTCCATATTCAAATTTCCCTGGTTGGTCCTCCGAATATTCTTCATAGATTGCTTGTGTAAACCAGGATCCTATTCAGTACCACATATCACGTTGGTTGATGTATCCATTAAGTCCCTTTCACTTTCTAATGGTGTTTTTATTTCTGATGCTAAATTGTTGAGTAGAGTGAATCAGCTGTCCAGTGAACTATCCTACATATTAGATTTGTCCTGATTGTTCAGGAGGAGGGGTGTCACTTAGTTTGTTTCTCTCTTCCCTGTTTTTTCTGTAGCCCAGAAATAAGTGTAAAGGCTTGATTAGGATTCACATTAAATATTTTTGGTAAGATTTTGCAAAGTTGCTTACTAAAAATGATATCTCAAACTGTCTTATTAAAACACTTGTAGAACACGTAGTATTTTGAGTTGTAAATTTGTAATTTTTTAATGTATAGGTATTATCTATAAAATATGGACAGAAGAAAAAAAAATTCTATAAAAAGTGTATTTCAAGAAACTTCCAGTTATCTCTAACTTCTTCCATTGTTTACCTTCCTTCTGTCTTAACTTCCTCCCTCTTTCCTTCCTTCCTTCCTTCCTTCCTTTCTTCCTTCCTTCCTTCCTTCCTTCCTTCCTTCCTTCTTTCCTTCCCTCCCTCCCTTCCTCCCTTCAATAATGAGGTTATAAATGGTCTGTTATATGAAAGCAGTTATTTATGCAAAGACCTTAGGGTAATAGAACTCTGTTACTCAGTTTAGGAGTAAATAACGAGCAGGGGTATTTTTTTATTTAAATTTAATTTGAATGCTTTCTTTTTGTTACAATACTTATATTAAATGTAGAATTATGTCAGTACTGTAGTGTATTTTCTAAGTATGGTTGGGCCAAGCCGACTGATATAGTGATAGTAAAAATATATCAGCCTCAAGACAGAAGCCAATTGATTCTTGATCTGCGTGACCTTTGATGTGGCTGGAGGTATATGAAGAGTTCATATTTGTCTTTCTAAGTATTTACCTCTAACCTCTGAGGATTTGATGGAATCAAAAACAGGAATACAGATGTCTCAGATGAAAGTCATTTTCAAAAGATGTTCTGCTTAGTGCTTCAAATCCAAGATATTTGGACAAGCTAAAAGAGAAGCATTTTAATGGAATCAATTCAAGCCTAGTGTCATGGAATATTATGTCTCATCCAACTTAAAAATGAGTATTTAAAAAAAATAAAAGCACAATATGCAAGCAGAAAGTGCAGAATCACAATTGCACAACTTGATGAATTATTACAAGATGAACATTTATGTGTTATCAGCACATAGATTAGCAAACAGAACGCGACCTGCACTCCAGAAGACCCCATTGTCCCCCTTACAGGCACGATGCCCGATCTCAGGTTTAACAACTGTTCTAATTTCTGACACCATAGATTAGTTATTCCTGTTTATTGGAGACCTTATTAAAAGAATCATATATACTGTACTGTTTTGTGGCTGGCTTTTTAAATTAGTAGTTGTTTTCATATTAAGTTTTACTTTTATATGTATGCTGTACAGGGTAGTAGAGTGAACGTAAGTATTTGAGTTGGCAAATTGAAATGCAAATCCTGAGTCTGCCATGTGCTAATTGTACTAGCCTTCAGTAAAGTTCTTAACTCCTCTGGGCTTCAGTTTCTTCACCTGTAAAATGGAAATATTAATAATCTCTTAAATGATTGTTGGGAGGATTAAATGAGATACTACGTGTGAAGTACCTGGAAATCTGGAGACGCTCAATAATTGCTAGTCCTTTACCATTTTTTAGTTAAGTATAGTAGAAGAAAAGCAAATTTATTATTCCACTTGAAAGCTAAAAAATATTTTTTCATTGGTGATCCATGTGTTGTTCAAAAGAACACAACAAACTTTGCCAGAATTTTTAAAGAACTATAGTTTTTTTTTCCTTCTTTTGAATTCTGGCAAATTAAATTTGTTGCAGTTCTACTGATATAATATTGTGAAGACTTCAGTTCTTACCAAATGCCAAAGGAAATGTCACGTGACCATTAACTTAGGTAACTGAAGGAAGTTATGAAGTAAGGAGATTGAATGTGTAAACCTGCACTTCCCAAAGGTGCTTTCTTCCCCTTCTCCTTCCCAACTGCTAATGAGGGAGTCTCAGATACTATTTACTCTTAAATTTAATGGAATAGTGTTTCTCTCTGAGAAATCAGTGTATTAAATAATAAAGAGATAATTATACTAACGTGACGCCTGTATTTATAATTGTGTTCATACTAAAACTTAATGCTAAAAATGATCAAATGAGATAAATTTATGTAATTCAAAATTTCAGTGAATTTATCTAAAAGTTACTTTTTTCCCTAGAAATTGAAATTATAAAAATAATGTAATTAATATCATTTAATTGCTAATAATGTTCTTTGTTTCCATAACTGGCAAGGCATCTTAGTATGTTTACTCATTTTAATTTAAAATTAGTATAATTAAAGGTAGTTTTGTTTTTCCACACATAGGAATTTATCAGTTGATGTTTTTCCTTACTCTTTATTGTTATTGTGAGGCTCAGAAGATAACAGATATTAAAGCTTATTTCCAAACTAACATAAGATGAAAATATTTAGAAATATTTAGATTTTCCTTTTCATGTAGGCATGATTTACTAGTATTTTAGGTAAGGCATAAGCATCTGTCTATGCCAACCAAAGTCCGAAGATTTTTATTCTTTATTCGTAAAGTATTATTCAGCATGGCATAGGTCTTTTTTTTAACACCTTTTCCTATCTGCCCAGTCTAATTGTGCATATCTCTCACCTGAGCTACTGGCTTAAAAAATTGAAGTTAAAAATCCCACTAGGACTTCTGCAGAAGCTAGATGGCTCAGAACCTGAGCAATAGACTGTTGCCTTGTTTCCTTTTTCTATTACCAAAACAACCAGTCACTTGATTGAAAAGTGTCACCTAGGTCCATGTGTTGTTCTTCTCACACATAGATGGCGCTACTGACCCACCATCACAGTTTTCACCACCGTTGGGCTGTGAATAAACATCACCTATGTCTGGTCCGCAGATAGTTTCTATTTTTAGAGAAATAACTGGGATTTTGGATGGGCTGAGCTCCACAACAATGGGCAACTATTATTGTGTATAACCAACCGTGCTAATGCTTAGAAACAGCAACATATTGGTGAATGGACTTTATATCTTTCAACTGATTAATTGGTTGGTATTGTGAGTGAAGACGAGAGTCTGATTTGGACCCTTTTGTTGTAGTTAACTGTGAGATGGTGAGCACCTCACTGTATCTTCTTTGCATCTGTTTTCCCATTTTGAATGAGTAGGAAGGAACCAACATTTATATAACACCTAGTATGTGTGTGTATAAATGATATCTTAAATAAGATATATAATATAAAAATAGTAAGACAGTATATTAATAGAATACGGCTAAGCTAGTTTTAAACAACTGGAAGCTTTAATTCATTATGCATTG